CCGTTTGGATCGGGAGTTGCACGCCAAGGTCTATGGAGCAGGGTTGAACATACAGTCTCGGAGCGGGATGCACGCAAAGAGCCAATCGTTTCGGAGATAGAAGCCACTGTGTACTCCAAGTTTTGTCAGTGAAAGGGCTTACGATGCCCTTTTGCTCCCAATAGGTACACTAGATCAATGTATTACTAGCTAGTAGTAATACAATGTGAGTGTACTAAGAGAGATAGAGAAAAGGGTGGCCTACAACCACCTGCTACGTGTAAGTCCATCGGATGATCCGATCGCCCTAAAGGCGGTGTTACCGTATATGGTAAGTACAGGGATATCTATGTATCCCTTACACCCCCCCCCCATTCAGAGAGGAGGAGGTTATGACTTAGAGACCTTTGTTGTATCCATCACAGTTGTCAGAACTGTAATCAAGAGAGACATCCTTCTCAGAAGGGATGTCAACATGCAATGGCCCTGCAATAGCAGAGGTGCATTCATTGCTCCAGAGGAAACCTTCTGGTTTCAAGCCCAATGGAGGAAGATCCACCTGGGAAGGTGGAACAATTGCAGACTGATACACCTGCATCCAGAGTGAATTGTTCTGGGTATCAAAGGCCAGAAGTGCCTTTGCTGCATCCTTGTCGAGGATGTGCTTGCAGAAGGAGCCACCAACATGCTGCACCTTCCTGGCCCTATGGCCAAAGTAGCTGACCCATGTGGCCAGTTTCCCTCCTTGCAGCCTGCTGGCTGCAAACTCATGTGTGACAGTGATGATGTCCCAGGTGCACTGGCCATTGACTATGTGAAGGGCATGCTGGAAGCATGCAGATGTGCTCCAATGGGGCATGGGGAGCTCAGGGATTTTTGCTGCATGGGCAAGGTCCTTGAAGCAGTCTTCAGAGGAGAAGAGGTCTGTGCAGACCTTGTAGAATGTGCTCACATCTCCGCAAATGAACAACTTGTTATCATTGTGGGGACAATGATCCTTGAGAAACTTCCAGAGACAGAGGTTGGGGATGTAAAAGTGTCCATCCCATGAGCAGCAAACACCTGCCCCCTTATTAGCATGGGGGTTTATTTCAGTCCCAATTTGACCAAGCATCTTGTTAAACTTGGACCAGAGTAGTCCAAACAGGGACCCATAATGGGGTTGGACAGCCCAGTAGGTGTCTGCTGTCTCCAGGCACCTTGCCCAGCAAGGTGGATCGTGCTCATGGATAGCACCTAAGTGTCTGGGAGTCAGGATGTACTCCCACAGGTTCTCCTTATCATAAGGAGGGAGGCCATGTGGCAGGCATTTGCTGCCAGTGAAGGCAATGCCCATAGGGGCAAATTGTGGTGGCAAGGTATACACTGTCTCATCCTTTTGACTGGATGATTTGCCAGATGAGCTGGCAACCACTGCACTGTATGTCTTGCCAACGGCAGAGATGTGGGAGGAGGATGTAGCAGTCACAAGAGACTGCATCTTCTGCAGGTGCACGGATGGGAGCTTGTCCACAGCAGGATGTTTACCAAGGGCGACCGCAGAGGCCTTTGTGACAGGAGGAACCCTCATGACAGTGGAGACCTTTGCAACAGCGGAGGTCATTGGTATGGCTGCTGGGGCCTCCTCAATAGGGCTGATGTTCATCAGGACGTCATATAAGCCATCTGCCTTGTGAGAGGCAGGAGGAGGAGCTGCCTTGCAAGCAGCAGAAGGGAGAGGGGGGTGGGGAGGGGGAGGATGAGGGGTGCTGTTGAAAGCGGACAGCTTGCCCTTCAGCTGATCATTCTCAGAACAATGTTCATTGCATTCAATGCGATAATGAGAGGTGTCTTCTTTTAGACAACTGATCTCATCAGTGAGAGCATTGCTCTCATCCTGATGATGGGAACCCTGGATCTCTGCATCTCTCTGAGCACGGAGGAGCATATTGTGCATGTTTGAGAGGAACTGCTGGGCTTTGTCCTTCCTGGATGACATGTGAGTGTTCTCATTGAGAGAACAAGTGAGATTTTTGTTGCTTGTCTTGAGGGAGTCCTCCAGACAAGCAATGCATGATTTGAAATCACACTTGAGATTATGAATCTCATCTGTGTGTTCCTCACGCTTGCCCCAAAGGTGATCAAGCTCCTGCTCCATATCTCATAACTTGACCTGATTATAGACTAGCTCATCAGCAAGCTGTTTGCAGCCACAAATGGCCAATTCCAAGTTCTGTGTTGGATGGAGTGCAAGCCATGGGTATGGCTCCCAACCTTCCATGCACAAGTTGCCATAATGTGCATCGCTTGACCTGCGAGCGAAATCCGGAGTAGGGGGATGTGAGTACTTGTCCTTGGACCTTCAGGGAGAGACATCACCATAATGGTCATTGGAAAAACTGTAATGCTTGCCCTGATGGGTGTGATGTTGATAGCTGCTGGAGGCAGCATTTTGTTGTGGGCCCCATCCCCAGGAAGGGGAGCAGGAGGCCCTGGGGCAGCCGAAACAGCTGCTGGGGTACCAGAGCTCTCACCCTGTGTGGGGGCAGAGGATGGCATGTTGGTTGCATGAACAACCAATGGAAGGAGAGCATCAGAGACGCTAGGAGGAGGGGCAGGGGCAGATGCAATTGTCTGGACCACTGCAGCAGATATGGGGAGTACTGCAGGCACAGGTTCTGCCATAGGCAGAGTGGTGGGGGGAGGGATGGACAGAAGGGCTTCTGTCATCTCCTCATCATCTGCAAGAGGGATGAAAACTTCATCTGAGTCAGATGCCATGGTAGCTTTGAGCGAAGCTAATGCACTAGATAGTGCAGAAGGCAAAGTGCTTGTTGAAATGAGAGCACAAAGATATGTGTATAAACCACTTGGGGGAGTGGGGAAGGTGGTGGTAAGAGGGAGAGGAGCATATTCTCCTCAGTGGCCTTTGTGCCACCCAAAATTTGTGGAATTGCTTCCACTGATGCTCTGTTGCCACAATTGTGGAAAAGGAAGGCCACAGGCCTTTCATTGTCAGAGCATGTGGTCTGACAATGAGTCAGGGCCTTAGGGCTACCCTTTTAGGGAGGTCCTCAGGCTTTGTCACACCTTGGAGTTCAAGGTACTCATCCAATTGGGTGAGACAATTGTCTCCACGGACATAAGGCTGTAAAAGGCTAGTGTGGAATACAGGATGTATTCCACATCTTCACATGCTCTCTGAGAAAGCTAACAGACAATTATCCATGTCTGTAACTTTCTCAATGAGAAAGGGCCCCACAAATTGGGGCATAAGCTTAACTGCACAATTGTTAGGAATCACCAAGTTACGAGTAGAAAGGAAGACTAAGTCTCCTTTCTCATATACAGGCAAAGCCTGTCTACACTTGTTTGCATGGAAAGCCTGGTCAACATGGGCTTCTATTATTGCATCTGTTGCAATACAGACTGCATATTGTGCCTCATGCATGAATTGGTCCACACCTTGATACTCCAATTCGGAGTGTTTGACCAGGTGTGTCAATGATGGAAGATGTCCATAATTCAATTCAAATGGACTGAAACCTGTGCTAGCCAAAACACTAGCTGTGAGGGCACACAGTCAAGCAAGGCTGCCAACTATAACCCGACAAGATGATGAGATCAACAGTAAGACCAAACACCCTATATCAACAGGGGTATTGGTGGATATCAGAGTAGACTTGAGAGGATTCAGACAGGAAAGCAGAAATCAGTAGAGTTCGGGAAGAGCTTTGATGAGGTGAGATGACTAGGCCTATCTCTACAAGACTGTGGAGATTCCTCAGAGATCAGATCTAAGGAGAGTAGTACTACCCTCCAACTGTTTCTATACTCATAGGGCATGGTCTGTGCACATGGAAGTATAATAAAAAAATTACCTCAATTAGGGCCAGCTTTACTGATTCATGCAAGTTGGCATCCATTGGTCCTTGTGTCAGGTGTTCAGAGCTGGCTCAGTGTGGAGACCCTAGCCTGTGTTGTCAAAGTCCGATAGTCACCAAGTGGATTGAATTGACCTCAAATGTTCCAAATGTGCAGTTGAAACTTGGGGTCCCCTGACACTAGCATTAATTGCATATTCTACCATAGGTAGATGTGAGCACCAGTCAGACTGGTCATCTGCTACTGTTATATGCAGCATCTGACTTATTGAGCATATCATATGCTGTTAGGGCAACACAGGCTGACTAAGTCTGCTCACCTAAGAGTGCCAAGAGTCTAAGC